TTTTTTTTTTACTGGGATCGAACTTGGGTCCTTGGGTCCTTGCACTTGCAAGGGAGGTGGTAGCACCACTGAGCTAAATCCCTGGCCCTATCACAATTTTTAAAAAGGATGATTGCTGAATTTCACTCTAGGAGTCAGATCACAATGTGTGTTTTCCAGGAAATTTTCCAAGAAGCCATCTGTTAAAATTGCCTCCTATAGCAGGGACAAATGTCTCTAATTCTAGGAAGGCCAGAGAACCTGCCCCAGGCCAAGCCAAGATGAGTCATTCTTGGAGATTCTGAGGATGGTGAAGTATCTGAGAAATTCTTAGTGAAAGGCATGATGAGATACTCAAGATATTACTACAAGGAACCATGAGGTATCTAAGATTACTCATGCAAGTAATGTGTGATATCCATGACTATTGGTGGAATACCCAAGTGTCTATGAAATCCAATCCTCCGCTTTCAAGGAATGTCTAGAATGACAAATATAGGAAATTGGCAGTACTAAATTGCATAAAATTAGTGATGAATGAATGTTGTGGACAGTAAGAGGTCCAGAAGTCTAGAGTTCCAAAAGGGGCACTTACTACTGCTTTACTTATACAAAAAGTGGACTTGCTAAAGGCTTCTTTCTCACTTAAAACTGGTTCTTCCTTGAAGAATTACTGGTAGGACCTTCAAGTATTTCCCTTTTTGGGGCTACTCCCTGATTGCCTGTTGTCTGGGATTTCAAGACAGGGTGAAATCTACTTAAATGACTTCAGCAATGTAGCACAACCAAGGTATAAGGCAGCAAGGAATGTGCTTTATCTGTGCCCTTTGTCACTGTGAGTGTGGGTGGATCATTGGCTCAAATACCAGATTCAGTGAATCAGGATGCTTGAAGAAAGCATGAAGTTCAAGTAGGATTCATTAATGGAGAAAGAGCTTGTTGCTTAATATTTTATTGAACACCCACAGTTCGAGCCAATGTGAAGCTCAAGCAATCAAACAGCTGGGCAAGTATTTTTGGGGGGGCCAATAAATAAGAGCTGTATGGTACAGCTAGGGAGTGAAAAGAAACATAAAATCCAGAACCTGCTTTGAAAGAATTCACACTGTGCTTGGGAAAACGTGATGAAAATACACAAAATTAAGGGAACATTTATTATTGGAATGGAACTGAGTGCTATATGTTGTGATACAGCCTTTATATAAGACACGAGTCAAAGAAGAGACGAATATAAATGGAAGTGGTGAAGGTAAGTATTTAAGAACTACCTTTAGTCAGATGTGGTGGCATACCCCTGTAATCCCAGTATTCTGGGGAGCTGAAGCAGGAGGATCTCGAGCTTCAGCCCAGCCTGGGAAGCTTAGTGACTTATCAAAATTCTGTCTCAAAATAAAAAGTAAAAAAAGGGCTGGGAATGTAGTTCAAAGTAAAGATCCTGGGGTTCAGTCCCCACTA